GAGAGGAATATTGATATTGATCAACTATCACGTATAAAAGTTACACTCGATGATCTAGCTTATATCATTTTCACAAGTGGTTCAACAGGAATACCGAAAGCAGTTCGTTGAAATTTAGCTTTTTGATATTTCACTTATTTTTTTACTTTCTTATAGGTTCAAGTACGGCACAAGAATTTTACTGAATTTATGTGTTCGTTAATTTACGGTGATGTAGTGAATGAAAGTGATACAATTCTTCAAATGGCACGTTGTTCTTTTGATGTTCATATCCACGATATACTGGGCAGTTTTATGATTGGAGGTTGTCTAATTATGCTACATCCAAAAGGAATCATGGACTTTGACTATCTTGCTAGTGTTTTCGAAGAAAAGAATATTACTTGTTTTGCTTCTGTTCCAACTTTAATTCATAATTTCTTCACTTATCTGCAACAGCAAAATCATCATAATGTTGCACAATACCTGCGATCAGTTTGTAGTGGTGGTACGTGATCTTTTTATAGAATGAGTTATTTTATATACTATTTTATTTCATCTCTAGGTGAGCCCTGCTCTTTAAAACTAATAAATTTAATGTCAAATACTGTAACGCACTCTTGTCGACTATGGAACATGTATGGCCCTGCTGAAACAACAATTGATTGTACGTTTCATCTTTTCGATGACAAAATGGAGCCTGAAAGTTTTCCAATAGGCAGACCGCTTTCAAATTACCAAAATCTAGTTTTAGATCAAATCTCACAAAATGTGTCTATCAACCAAGAAGGTGAACTGTTTGTGGGAGGAGCAGGCGTCTTTGCTGGTTATCTTGGACGTGATGATTTAACTGCTAAGGCTTTTGTTGAAATAGATGGTCAACTATTTTATCGAACAGGTGATCTTGTCACAATTGACAACAGTGGTCTTCTCCATTATCAAGGAAGAAAAGATCATCAAATCAAACTTCATGGACAACGAATCGAACTTGGTGAAATCGAACGATGTTTACTTAACATCACATCCATATCTGCTTGTGTTGTCATGAAATGGAATGATGATTATTTAGCTGCTTATGTTCAATCTCCTCATATGAATGAAGCAGAACTACATGAACATTGTCAATCTCATCTTCCACCACATATGATACCATCTCTCTTTGTCATACTTGAAAAATTACCTTTGAATCCAAATGGAAAAATAGATCGAAAACTTCTTCCACTACGTGATCTTTCATTAGCACATCTTAAAAGCAATATCGAATTGTTGAAACCAACCAATACAATTGAATTTACTATTCATCATATTTGGTGCGATTTATTAAAACAACAAGAAATCTCCACTAACACAACTATCTTCACTATTGGTGGCCATTCACTTATCATTATGCAACTATCTCATCGATATAAAATCGAGTTTCATTTAGAAATAAATTCTCTTCCTATTACTGATCTATTTCAACATCCCACGATTGCTGGTCATGCTCAGCTCATTTATGAAACTATGAATATCAAAGAGAATATAAATAATTATCATTGGTTTTCATTACATATCATAAAAGGTAAAATATAGGATGTTTAAGAATATTCTTTTAACTATATTCTACTCTCTTTTGTAGCTAAAACATCATTTGCACAAGAACGCATATTCTTGGATGAACAAATTCGTTTCTCATCAACAGCTGATAATAATACTAACATGTATGTTATACCATTAATCTACCGTATTTCCTCTATGAACGATCATATATCTGTTTCACGATTACAACATGCATTTCAATCTATCATTACAAAACATCAAACTCTTCGAACAGCACTCTATCTTGACATAGATGGTAGTATTATACAACATTGTTTAGATACAAATGTTATTATCAATGATAAGAACGTCTCTAGATTTTCGATGATTAATCTTCCGAGTAATGATCATGAACAGGATGAACTTGTAAAGAAGATCTTAAATCAATCAGATTTATTTGATTTATCAAAAGGACGAGTTATTCGTTGTCATATTCTTCGTCAGGATCAATCAAATCATTCATTCACTCAGAATAATGAGGATCTATTGACTAAAAATGATCTAATATTATTTACCATTCATCATGCAATGTTTGATGGAGCATCAACATCAATCTTCCTTCGTGATCTTTCTCTTGCTTATCAATCAAATGACTTGCTCCCTATAGATGATAATTCATTACAATATATTGACTATTCTATTCATGAACACATAATGGATATGACATTATCTCAAGAATTTTGGCAATTAGAACTCAAAGGATATAATCTTGTACGCCAATTACCATTACCA